GAATGAGTGCCGTCCCCACAATTAGATTGATTGACGGTGAAAACTTTATCCTTTTTTATTTATTCGCCGAAACAGCGCTTGTATCAAGGGCTCACTGGAACGTTTTTGTCGTTCCAGACTTTCGAGATGGTGGAGAAACCGAAATATCGGCGGAATATACTTCTTTACCTCACTTCGGTACCACTGCTCTAAGCCATACTAGGGAAAAGCATGCTCAAAGTCATAGATCGTGACCATCTTGCTCCTTCATGGATCAAAGCGCCGTTGCCATCATCGGGCTCTCCGTTGCACTCACAGGCTGTGGGCGTTCCTCCTTTCTGTAGCCACAGGCAGCGGTGTTCGGCTTGCAGGTGGGGGGAGGGGACATTTTGCACTTCCTCCGATCCCTCTTGCTAGTACATGTCAATTAACAGGTTAACAACTGTGAACTATGGGAGCCGCGAAATGGTGAAGCAATTTAGGTACAGGTCTCCACATAGTGGCCTGTAAATGTCTCGCGGCGTACTCCCCATAAAGCCCAACTGCTTTGTCCCAGGCTCTTTGGATCCGGCGTAGTTTCAGAGGAGGAACTTCAAATCCTAGAGGCAGATGTTTCGGACTCATGTGAGGACTGTTCCTGCCCGCAAAGCTCCATAAAATGGGATATTGGCAAGAGAGGTACAGCTTTTTCATACACACATTTTCAACATTTAACCAGAATCATTTTTAATGGGGCGCAGGTTCTAATGCGCAACCCTTGGAAACCTGCTAAAATCTCTTGGCTAACCAACTCGACATTTTCCAGCACCTCTATATCCAAATGCGATGGACACCGCTCGCACGGCGCCCCTTCCAGCGTAACCTTTGCCGCGACGCCGCAACATGGATGTTACGCCTCCCCGTACCCCTCCTCCCACTCTCTTCTAGTGTGATCAAAAATGCGCGCATTGAGAGGATTACGCCAGAAGACAGGATCCCCCTCCCTTGTTTTGCCTTTTTATCAACCCCCCTCTATTCCTCAACGTATTGTATTTGAACACGTATCACAGCAAAGCTTTATCGATCACTAATTAGATCTGGTCAATAATCCACGAATTTTTCCATAGATATGGTTGAAAATGGACTTTCTTGTTGTCAGCTCAATTTCAGGGGTAGTCACATCCGTATAGTTGGTAGGCACTGCGGTCGACGTTGTAATATTCTTTTCAGGAACCATTGTCCTGTTACAACCGTATATTCCATAGGCACTAACGTCAACGTTGAAATAATGAAGATGATCTTGGATTGATGAGGTGAACAGCAACCCGTCACTGCACCGGAAGCTCTCACCGGCTGAATATGTCATTACTACAATATCTCAATATCTCATAAAAATAAGGGGGCAGTTGGGCTACAAGGGGGGGGGGGGTATTTTGCACATTCGTTACTTCCTATCGACCTGTCTACCCATCCAGAGAGCCATTTCGTGAGCTCACAAGGTTTGATGGGTTTCACCATGGTGGCTCGACGAGCTTGCTCCAGCTTCACAAGAGCTCACAGGTTTTACCAGAGTGAGACTTGTAAACCGGAACGAGTAAAGCAGCGTAAGTGCAAAATGCCCCCCCCCTGTCGCCGAACTGCGCCTAAAGATAAATAGTAATCGCTTACCATAGCATACCCTGTACTTGGCGTTGATCGACATGTTCAGGGGATAGAAGGCCTAAACAGAGTAGTGAGCTATCAGCTTAGTGGAAGAAAGTGAATTCTGCGGCCATTTGAAGTCCTAAAGGCACTGCCCACACCTAGTCATGTGGGCGGAGTCAGTTCTCACACAACTCCTTTTTGGCGATGCTCCACTTTGCCGTGCGAACGTAATACCGCGCCTGCAATTGCTTTTTCCTCATAGGAGTTATGCGCTGTGAGGAAAGAGCAGTGGTAGGCCCGCCCTGGCAAATGATAGGGACTGTGTCTTTAGATCCTGTTGGCCTTCGATGGTTTATCAGCTGTGATGTGATATTGAAAGATTCAGACCTCTGACTGGTGATGATAGTAGCCCAAGAAGCCCAATGGTGGAACATGCGGTACTAGATCTCTCCAATGAACAACCCGGAAACTGTATGTTACCTGAAACAGGCGATATTTCACAAAATTCCGCAAATTCGGCGCCAGTGACGTGGAAGGGAATTTGAGGGCATTCCTGAGCACAGGGTAATTTCGCCCGTTCGCTGCTTCGATTTCGAACTTTCCACTTCCAGATTTCCACTTGATGACTCTACAAGCCAATGGGAAGCAGCGAAAGTGCAAAATGTACCCCTGCCCCGTCACCCAACTACGCAGGAAAAGCCCTGTTCTCCCTTATAATTATTCAAGTCTAATTTCCCTTGATGACCGACTCAATGAGGATTCAGACGCCATCCATCTCGACTGTTTCGTATGCTTATCTTATCTTTTACATATTCGAATTAATGGTAGGGCCAAGTCACAAAAACAACTGCAGATGGCCTGTTGTTCACACTTGAAGCGCTGCCACGGTGAGAGGCGGACTTCAGGCCTATACACGTGACTAGCTATTCACTTTTCTCTGCTCTCCTTTGCGGACGTAGGCGGACTGAGCGCCACAACGAAGATAGGTGCAATTGCATCAAGCTACTGAATCCGCCCAAATGGTCATAGTGGATATTATCTTGTTACATGAAATCAAAACATGTCCCCACTTCTATTACTACATAAACAATATACCTCTGAGTTGTGTACCCGGGCGTAATCTAAGTCACCAACTCGTGGTTGGCCATATGTGACCAATTTTACCCTTGAAGATGGAACTCCATTATGAGTAATAATGTACGAGGAGGCCAACGATGCCATCGCAGCTCCAAGTGAGTGACCGGTCACCTGGAATTGAAATCACCTAGGCTTCATTCGGCCAGCCTTCAAAAAGGAGTAAGGTCTGACTGGAAAACAAGTCGACATTTGGCTGAATCTAATCCTTGAAAAATCACTTCACCCATATTTCGTAGTCGGGGTACGTAGCACTCAGATTTTTGAAATCTTCTCCCATGCCAGCCTTCCCACAAACCCATGAAGCCGTCGTAGAAATACTTTGACACGTATCCGCCGGCCTCCCATTGGATCTAAGTTTCACAACAGGTAACATGAAATGGTATGGTGCTAGGCAATTTTTTCGCGATGAACAATGCAACCGGTCTCAGTATGGAATGGTAGAGCTAATTGGAAGCAGGAAGGTTCCACAAACTTAATGTCTGTGGTAGTTCCCAAATATTTTCTCAGAACCGGAAAGCTTCTGAAAGCCTATGGAAGCGAGTTCAACCAGTGATTGAGCGCCACACTTATAAATGTGACAGGAATACTTAGAGGCCTGTCCTCGAAGAGAAATGTCTTCTTTTCACGGTCTCTAATTTGCTCGATAGAAGTAGCAAGGCTTAG